GAGCCATGTTGGTAGATGCAGACTACTTTGTTGGAGTCCGCGTGACTATCGTAACCAATAGTTGGTGACTCCTGGTGACATGGTTCAGGATCGATCTTCATCTTCCCTTTAACCGTGAGATTAAAATTGCTTTATACATTTCTGTCCATGAGCTTATTCTTTTTCCCTACATCATATACCTATATGCAATCTTTTTTAATATATACTTCGACCATTGAATTAACAACTTCTATGAATTCGGTGTTTATCTTGTTGTGCTAATGAGGTGTAGTAACTTGGACTTATGCATATATGTGCCTGCTCCTACGTTGTAGATACCTGACTGACTGAACCCAATTTCAACCCAAATATTTAGATTAGTCAAACGTATTAAGAGAGTAAAACTATTATGATTTGCACTGAATTAATAGTTTGTCTTTTGTCTGTTATTATTTATCACTGTATTAATATTGTTTTCTTATAAAAAGAAATGGAACATTCTTAGTCATCAGTTTCCCAAAATACAATCAATGTTATTGCAATGGTTAATTTTTAAGCTTTTCTATTGTACAAACTGTTTATTTTAGGCTGTAAATCAGTATATTATTCACTTTAATTAAACTAACACAAATGGTTTGTTATCTTATTAGTAGATTTATCTATTTTATTCATATTTAAAGATTATTCAATGGAGAATACTTATCTTGTATTCAACATACAATTCATTTTATCAATAAAGCTTAACATGATTGAACGATTTATTGAATATTTGTTTGAATAAGAACAATTTGTTGTCATCACACTATCCTTGATATACTCTTAAGGTTGCATATAATTGACAAGAGTTACGTATAAACAATTTATCTGGCATAATAATTAATGTTACGTCCTTGATCTGTCTATCCACTTTTGGTGCTGAGGATAACTTGTCTAACGTACTAGAGAGAAGAAAACTATTCTATAACCAGATTTTCTGACAAGCACGCGAGTGAGAGAAGACAAATTAACTGGAACACTACTCGATATATTCCCAATTCAGATCTGGTTCCCGATTTCCAGATCAGTGTAAAAACAAACATGAATAAATAAATGACTAACCCCACCACAACGTACAATAACTAGTAAAATACAACTATGTCCAAAACTGGGAATTAGCGTAGAAAATAGAGTACAAAATAATACGTTTAAATTACAATAGCTTTGGAACAAAAAGGGCTATAGCAGTGAATTATACATCAAACGAATGCTTATGTTCTGTAGAATAGACTAGGGACAAAAATAAATGTTAATGTTTTACAAGCTTTGAATTAACTGAAATGACGTCCCGAAAAGTAGCTTTCGTAGCTTGTCAAGGCTTCTTGTTTCTTTGTTCACATCAATTAATCTATTCAGAAATTTGAAAATTCTACTTCAGAAATATATAAACGTAACAAAGTTGAAATATAATTGTCTACTAAACATAAACATAATTTTGATAATTCTATCTGATGAGGTGTTTTCAATTATATTCAAAAAAGGACTTAGTGTTATATCGCCCAGACAAGGGTTCAGGAATTGTCCTTATGAAGTGTCTTGACTATTTTACCAAAATATCTTCGATATTATCCGATCCTGTCAAATTCTCTAAAGAAACTGCTCAAAAAGACACAACTGAAAAAAACGGAACAGATGCTAACTAAAATTTTAAGGAAGATGAAATTTGAGTTTATTATCAGAGAACGAAACATATAATCAGTTAATATTTACCAATTTGAGGCATTGTTTTCGCATTATATATATATATATATATATATATATATATATATATATATATATATATATATATATATTTAAGTATGCTTAGAAAAAGTAACTGTAATAAGGAGAGATTCTTGTAAATATTGGAATGACAAGATGAAAATTCATCATTTTTTAACTAGATTTGTATATAATTTCAGTAGCTTCTTTTTTGCATAGACCTATAAAAATCTACTTCAAAAACTGATATCGCTTGAAAGACTTTCATTAAACCAAATTCTATTGAATAGTTCTGTTGTTGTTAGTTTGGAATTCGTAACAGTGTGCTTCATCAAATCTTATTATGATTAATTTACTAGATAGTTTATGTAAAACATTAAAATGAAAAAAAATTTTCATTTATTGAAAATGTATAAAAATAGTTTTAAATTGATATCATGAATGGATCAATGTTAAACCAGCATTGAAAACCTGGAAGAACCGGACAGCCGTTTCGTTCTAGTATAGGACTCCTTAAGAATGCGCATCCACAATCCTGCACGCGGGATTCGAATATGAGGCAATTACTCACTGAAGACAATCGAGAACGTTCGCTCAATATTGTAGATTAGTTGGAGTTAAATATTAACACCACTGGATGCTCGCTCAGTAGTCTATAGGCTAGGCGTTCGCTCACGAGACCGTAAATCCAGGGTTTGATTCTCATGTGTGGGATCGTGGATGCGCATTTCTGAAAAGTCCCATACTAGAACGAAATGGATGTCTAGTGCCTCCAGGCTCTAAATGGTGGTCTAATACTGATTCGTTCATGATATTAATCAAAGGTAAAAAAACTTCCACAATCCCTTACTGATAAAAATAAATTGTTTAACTTTTCTATCGTTACATTCTTCATTGATATTTTTACATATAAACATGCACCTAGACAACCATAAATTTTAGTAAAATCTATCATTTGTTGGCATTCATTTGATCTCATATTTTTTCTTTGTATACACAGCAATCATTATCTTTACTTCAATGTTTATTGATTGAACTTTGTATAATGTAACAGATTTTTGTTTTAAGAATTGTAAGCATTTTTTTATTGTTTTAATATCATATGCTTATATATATATATATATATGTGTGTGTAACCACAATATACACGGTTTATCAGCTGATTGATTCATCTAGAATTTATTCATTCGATTTCATTAAAATCCACTATATTCATATCACCATGTTACTGAGTTAACTAAAGATTTTTGGTTTCTAATAAATTTGATAATTATATCATTCTAATGTATTAGCAAAGGATAATTTATTATATTGGAAATTCTACATTGTACATGATCATTGTTAAAATACAGTTAGTCTGCTAAAAAGTTGATAATAATTAACCAAGGTACTGTAGTGAACAAGAACACATGCTGGGACAATCGAACGAGGAGTCCCATACTAGGACGAAACCACCTTCCAGTGCTTCCGGGTTTTTCATGGTGGTCTAGATTCCATTGACTCTTGGTTTCAACTATTGAAAATAAATTTAGTCTATTGAAAAGTTAATAATAATTAGCCAAGGTACTGTAGTGAACAAGAACACATGCTGGGACAATTAAACGTACTTTAATGCAAAATTACAGAATCTTTTATTAAATTCTGAGAATCATATAGTAAATACTTCATTTGCGAAATGTCAATCAGTTGTCTCAGACTCGATTGTTCCTTCGTTTTTACATCAATCACTCCCTGTTCTCGCTCTTTTCTTTTCAATCTTCTTAACTTTCTGTCACTCGACATTTCACTTTCGATTGATGACACATACTACTTATATCTGTCGACATCAGTAGCACACACCACAGTAGTGATTATCATCTTTTATCAATGTACATCTCTCAGAAATCTTTATATAGATTCTAAAACTTAGATTATATTCATTATCTACTATTCATTGATGGAAAAATCTAATTAGATGATTAAACATTTTGATCAAATATTAAAATATATCTATTAATAAAAATAAGCAGTTTATGAAGAGTGTTGAAATAAAAGTAGAATATATACAGCTAATATTTCTAGCTTAAATGAACTAGTTATTAGTATCATACTTTCTGTAAGATTACATTGTCTTTGGAGAGTAACTAACTTACATTCGAATCCAGCGTATGGGATCGTGGATGTACACTTCTGAGGAGTCCCATACAGTTAAAATATGAAATGACTATAACGGATTATATAATCTTAATTTGATCTTCGTTCTAAGTTAATTGTCAGTATTCCTAATAATTCATTGTTTCAGTAATTTGTGCAATTAAAAAAAACTTGATTTGGTTGAAAATAATTTTTGATCGGGCCTTAAAAGATGAGAAAAAAACATGGAGACAAAATCCATGTTCGATTTCATGTTTCAATTGTAGTGAAAATTTATTGATTACACTGTGGAACTTGTTACTAACCAATATCCCGAGTCTATTTAACAAAGTTGAGCTAAATAGTTTGAAAATTTGTCTGGAACATAATACTTCTAAAATATAGAAATTTATGAAAGAAATAATTAGAATAAGGATTTTCTTAACATTAATTCCAAACTACATTTAACGTTTCTGCAGTCTAATAATCAATCATGTGATTAACATTACAGGAGTCTAATCCAAAAGATCTTTGCTGTTGAAAGAAGAAATTCCGATTCGGTATAGTAAATCATCAGTTTGTTTCATGATTCCTAGAACAATATTTGTGTTCTATTTTTGGTATGAATCCTAATTTTTCATAAGTCTTCAAGACTACCACAAACTCAATTTTCTTATCAGGTCCCTCAAGAATAATTATCCATCCATGGTGTAGGCAACTACAATATGATAACCGCCTTCACACCTCTAATACCATTTGGAAATGTTTGGGGGCATAGGTTTTTGTTATTCCGAAATGCGTTTATGATTCTTTTTTAGAAAATTATCTAGTAAACTAGGAAATAATCTACAAAGTTAAGCTTTATCGTGCTTTCAGAGAACTAATTAAACAATTAAGAAGCACTAGTGAAAAGTTGTTTCACTATATTTTTCCTTGTTTTTCGAATAAGTCAAGTTAAATGAATAATGTTGTGCGAAAAAGTACCAACAATTAAGAAATCCAAGTAATATACCATATGGAATACCTTTGTATATGAAAAAATGAAAGGAACTACTGAAATAAATTTCTTAATGATTAAACCATTTACCGATTTTTAAAACAATCTAAAACACTATCGTATTGTGAGTACCATGTTGATGTTTCTCCTTGAATAATTACCATTTTTTAACAGAATGGCTATAATGTATATACTTGAAAAAGAATTCGACAGTATTGATAAAAATTCTGATGGATTTCTAAGTAGAGCTGAAATTATTAGCTGTTTGGAAAGTTTTGGTTTTCCTAAAAGTCAAGCTGAAGTAAGTATTTAGAAAATCATTGTATTTTTTCACCCCTTCATAATTGATCTTTTCCCTAAATTAATACATTTCATGACCTTAGGAACACCTTTCGATTTCTGTTATTCTTGAAATTCTCCTTCTGAAGACTTTCATTACATATCCTGAAAACCTTCTATAATTAGCGAAAAAATCTGCTAGTCTAATATACGTTCAATTTTTTAGAATCACGTTACATTAATTTTAACCGTTGATTCTCATTCAAATTACTCATCATGAGGTTTATTGTAGACATCCTGCGTTGATATCAATAATTGCTTCGGTCTCCATAGATCATGAGGGATGCACACTACTGATTGATCCCATACTGAAATGAAATAACCATTCACAGCTCCCTGATTCTACATATCACCTCAAGTGATAGCACTCGGTGATGAATACAATCCACAAATTGTATATTAATTCTTTCTAATTATTGATTTACATTCAAATAATACTGAAATTTCACAAATACCTCTATAAAAATTGTTATCGAATCGATCTGTGTAAATCAAAAGCTTCAACCAGAATACATATAAATGGGACTAGAAGTGCTATAATATTAAAGGTATAGTAGATGTTGAAAAAATTATCTTGAGTCTAGATTTATTCTGTCAGAAAGTATGGATTTCGTTTGCTGACTTAAGCATATAACTTTATGCAGCTAATAAATGCAGTTGAAAAAACGACATTGAATAAATATGATAGGCTTTATATTAATTTTGTTGACTACAAACATCACATTCATTCATCAAAGCAGATAATTCCTGACGAGTTAAATTGGTTATTATCATTTATATATATTATGATATTTAATTAATAATAACATTTCTAATATTATAAATGACTGTTAGCAATCCTAAATATAATACACAAAATTCGAAAGTAAATTTTGTTTGAAATGACACTTTAGTTGTACACCTTGAATTCTTAATAGTTCAACTTAATTTATATTTTCTTCATTGACATCATGAACCGATTAATGTTAGACCACCATTGAAAACCAGAAAGCAATGGAAGGCCGTTCTATCCTAGTCAGGGACTTGTAAGTAGTGCACATCCACGATCCCGCTAGCGGAATCCGAACCCACTACCTTTAGTTTGGCGTGCGAACGTCTAACCTGTAGACCTCTGAGTGGGTATCCAATGGTGTTAATATCTAACTTCAACCAATCTACGATATTGCACGACCATCTTCCATTGTCTGAGGTACATACTTGTCACTCCCTGACATGGATTATCTCCACTGGTCACGGTTACTCACTAGAACTCCGATAATACCCTCACAAAGCTGGTCACTAATAAGTACATGATAATTATCATTATTAGGTTATAAAGATGGTAAGTCTTTTTGTTGTTCATTGAAATCTTGTATTCCATACTAGAACAAAACCTTCATTCAGGGCTTCCATTGCTCTTAATAATGGTCTAGCATCAATCGATTCATGATCCTAATCAAAACCTTACCAATCTCATCATAATTACCAATTAATCTTTCTAGTTTGTTTTTCTCTATTCATTTCATAATTCAAACTTGAAAAATTTATAATTTACATCGTAAATTTGTTTTATTCTTTTGACTATTTATATATATATATATATATATATATATATATATATCATGTGGAAAGATAATGAATAAACGTGATAATCAAAATATATTCATCAAAAGAAAAAAACAAACAAAAAGAAACAATTAAAAAGAAGTACATAATTGTTTCAGTTAATAATTGTAACGAACTTTTGACATCCATAGAAAAAAAGAAGAAAAGAAAAAGAAAAACAAAGGAAGATTCTATTTGTTTGATTGGTATTTTTTAAAAAATTAATGAGCACAACAACAAAAAAATCGTTATTCTTTTTCTTGTTTTCTTTTTTCTCTTTGTAAAATGTGTTAAAGGGTTTTAGAACAATATATATAAATATAAGTGAACAATATTGTTTTCTATTAGATCCTCATCACGTTTTATGCTAATATACAGTAATATTTATATGCATACATGAAATTATTAGACTAATCAAGGTAGTTTTTCAGTCATTTGAAGTTATTTATCGTATTCCTACTGGTTTTCCTTATGGTGTTCAATCTCGTCTCTTACATATAGCAGAAGCTATAAGAATTCAAGCCAACAATCTAAGTCTTTGTGTTTATAAGAAATTCGTAACAATCTTATCTCTCCTTTGGCCTTAATAAGTGCTTCCAGGTTTTCCATGGTGCTTTAGCTTCAATTGACTCATGATCACAACTATTGAAATTACTAAAATCTCCACAAAATAACCCCTTCTGATACTGATCAACATATGCTCACTAGTGATTGGCTTCAAGATGTATGTCCTGGAGTTCTACTCAGAAGCAGTGACCAGTGGAGTTCAACTCGCTGACAACAGTGGTGGATGTATAACTCAATTTCGTGGATTAGTTGAAGTTAGACATCAACACCGTTGGATCCTGTCTCAATGGTCTAGTGGTTAAGCGTTCGCGCGCGAGACTAATAGGTCCCGGGTTCGAATCTCGCGGGGGACAGGATCGTGGATACGCACTAGTGAGGAGTCCCATACTAGGACGAAACGGTCTTCCAGTGATTCGAGGTTGTCCATGGTGATCTAGCTTCAATTGACTCATGATCTTAACTACTGGAACTTAATAAATGAATTTGTTTATTTTTTCCATATTCTTTGTTCGTTTATTTCTCATCCTCCCACCCATTTTTTCTCAAATATACGCTTCACGGTGTATTTATCTGGACACTTCTTATTACGTAATTTTATAATTTTAATAAATGTTATATGTATATCATTGTATATGTAGCTCTCTTTTATTTGTCAGCTTTTAATAATGTTTGTTTAGATTGGTTAATTTTTCATTTATGAACCTTCTTTTTGTACTTCTTCATGACATTTTTTCTGTAAAGGAAGTTATCAAACTGTATGATGAAAATAAAGATGGGAAAATATCTAGAAATGAATTCATGAAAGCTATAAATAAGAAACTTTCACAATCTGATGTATCATGAGTTTTTTATAGAAAAAAAATTTTTTGTACTGAGCAAGTCATTTGTCTATGTTAGTATTTCCTGTACTCTAAAAGTTATTTATAATTAACTGAACTGAAAGGATACAAGCTTAATTACATAACAAGTTGAGTATCTGTTTTATATTGTTTAACTTGGCAGTTTTTAATCCCGCTAGCGTAACAGAGCATTAATACTATAAGCACGTCATAAGATTAAGAAGGAATTGATCATGAGATGAATAAGGACTCAAGTGGGGACAATCGAATGGATTTGAAAACATAAAATTACAGAACATCTTAGTACAATCTAAGAATCATACAGTAAATACCTAATTTGCAAAGTTTCAATCAATTATCAGTATAGGGGTTGTGGAGATTATTAAGTTTTTGATTAAGATCATGAACCGATTGGTGTTAGACCATCATTGAAAACCTAGAAACACTGGACGGCTGTTTCGTCCTATTGTGGTACTCCTCAGTAGTGCACATCCACAATCCCGCTTGCGGGATTCAAACCCAGGGCCTTCAGTCTCATGCGGAAACACTTAACCTAATTCTATAATATCTGATTTAGAATATACTTTTATTAAAAAGATTTAATTTGAAGAAAATAATTTTAATACTTAAGATCATGAATCGATTGAAACTAGACTATCATGATAAACCTAGAAGCACTGGATGTTAATCTCATTTCATTCAAACAATATCTATTTATTACTTTGTCATTATATGTTTCTTTCAATACATTACAACATCTATTTCAAGATGTGCTGCATTAAGAAAAATATTTCGTGAAATGGATCGAAATAAAGATGGAACTATTTCAAAAGAAGAAATAAAAAATTGTATGAAAAATGATTGTAATTTTATATTTCCAATATAAGTTGAACAATGGGTTGATAAATATGATAAAAATAAAGATGAAAGATTAAATTATGAAGAATTTATTGGATTTGTTCCAGAATATTTGTAAATATAACTTCTTTTTTGGCATAATAATTATTATCATTGTACTAAATTTCATATTCAATAAGTATATTTTAGTGAATGACAATATAAACTACATTTTTAGTACTTTTTTATTTATTTGAATGAATTTTGAAACTTAGTATTGTTTCAATACATTTTTATGAATAACTGAAAAAGGTACTTTTTTATTGATGAATATTGATTTTGATGATTGAAACTGTAAAATATTTTAAAAACATGGCAGTATGTATTCCATGATGTTGATAACTTGATAATAAAAAACTTACTTACTTACGCCCTTTATTCCGACCAACATTATCTCAACCCACTTTGTTTTGAGCCTTGCTTTCTAGTTCTATCCGATTTCTGTTTATTCTTCAAATGTCTCTCTCCATTTCTCGGCATAATGTGTTCTTTGGATTTCCTCCTTTTCTTTGGCCTTGGGGATTTCATGTGAAAGCTTGCCTTCTGACGTAGGTAAGTCCTCCACCTGGAGCCCCTCTAGGGCTACTGCCGGTTCCAAGCCAGGATAAAAGAGGATGGTCGGGCATGGGATTAGCGACCTCACCCTGTAGAAAACTAACTCACTAAGAAAACGCTTACCAGAAAAAACTTAATATACTAAAACGCATCCATTAATAATTAATCTTATTTTGAGGAGGTAAATGAGTCGAATCTAAGAAATACAAAAGAAATTAAATTTTTAAGCATTTTAAATAGTCTTTTAGCTGAAATGTTAACAATAGTAACTTATGCGGTGTCTGTTTGTGGTCTAGGCGTAAAGCCATATATACTTAGAATGGGTTTATTTATAACAGCCTGGTCTGTTACTGCAATTTTTAATGTTAAGATTTATAGCTTAAAGTGATGACTCTCACCATCGACAACTTTTTTAATATAAACTCAAGTTCTAACAGTATTCCTATCAGTCTCTCTTAGAGGCCTAAAGAATTCAGTGTAGTAAACTTAAATGATGAAGTACTACAATTGGTTTGGCTAT